ATTTCACATGTCCACCACATATGCATATAGGTCCCTTTTTCCTTTTTGCATCTCCAGCATTGAGATGGTGTGTTTTTATTTGTGATATTCAGTCTTACCGGACTTAAATACCATCCCCATGCTACCTTATAACAATTTTCTTTTACTCTTATAGACATATTCTTCATTATTCTTTGTGATCGTATCTTGTTCCAGTCCTCTCCTTTAATCTCTTTATCAAAGTCCTCCTGGCACTGGTTTTTCATTGTCACTTGTTCGAATTCTGAATGTAGTAAAATTTTATGAATTACACTAACTGTTCCCCTTCTTTTGCTTCCTTCTCCTTGAACTTGTCTTTGTTAGATAACCTCCTCAAATTTTGTCAGTTTTCTAATCTCTCCTTCTTTTCTTGTCCACTCTTTAGTCCAACTTTCCATCTGGAGTATGTTTAACCAGGATATTCCCTCTTCTTCTTGAAGACTGGTATAAAGAAATGTGGAGCTTAGCAATTAATGATGAGTGAACATGTGGAATGAAAATAAGAAGAGGAATGATAAAGTCCAATGATTTTTTAAAAATGTATGGAATTTATACTCAGAGTATGTATTTTTGAAGGGGAAAGGCTATATGCCAGCAAAAGAATCGATGTATTTTTGGAGGGGTATGGGGTGAAAAGTAAGGATGTGGTGGTGCTGTGGGCTAAACTGCAGAAGCCTGTGCTGCAGGGGCAGAAGACCAGAGGTTGTAAGATTGAATCCACGCGATGGAGTGAGCTCCCGTTGCTTTGTCCCAGCTCCTCACCAACCTAGCAGTTTGAAAGCATGCAAATGTGAGTAGATAAATAGGTACCACCTCGGTGGGAAGGTAAAATGGCGTTCCCTAGTCACGCTGGCCACGTGACAATGGAAACTGTCTTTGGACAAGAGCTCTACGGCTTTAAAACGGGATAAGCACCGCCCCCTAGAGTCGGACACAACTGGACTGAAAATGTCAAGGGGAACCTTTACCATTTTTATGGGGTGAAAAGGGGTATAAACTGATATTATTGGTCATCTAGTCCCAAGGGTGAAAACGGCACAGGTGAGGAAAGATCAATGTGTATTGTCTGTAATCACTATTGAGTTCGTATTTTAGTTTTAATTTTGTTAATTGCAAATTTTCTTTTATTAATAATAAAAACGGGGGGAGGGAAAGAATAGTAAGCGTTTTGATGTCAGAGGAAATTGCACGTAAAAATAAGAAATATATCCAAAGTATTTGTGATGTATTTCACAAAGTGCCCAGTCCTGACAGTCCATCCTCTGACCAGTGGCATAATCAGATCCCTCTGTGAGAACAGCTACCCTCATGAAATACTTGCTGACAATCCCAATATGTATTTAAATGCTCACTAGGTGGAGCCATTGGCTCAATAATATTCATACTGAATAATACCTCCCTTCACCCCACTTCTCACTCCCAAATTTGGGGGATTGAACAGAACTCTATCTAGAAACAGCATTTTCTGATCTGAAAAACTACTGCCAGCACTACCACCAGAACTAGGAAACATGCTTTTAAAATTGTTGTTATTCAAAAACATCAGGCACAGTCAAAATTATAAGAACATTGACTGGTATTATATAACAGCTACAAGTTTTCATCAAAAACCTAAGTATCTGTTAAATATCAGCACAGTATGTATGCTGGTCCTAATATTGCCAGTTTTTGTAACTCTGATGGTGTGATTTCTTTTATTTTTTTTAAAATACATTTTATTACTTTTTCAATCTATCTACTTTCGGTTCATGCTCATCAAACATCGTGTTACGTGGGTTGCTTACAATTATTTGTTTTTGCGTCTTGGTGTCTTCCCAATTATCCCCCCAAATTCCACACATCTTTCGATCATTCAAACCATTCATGTATGTATTTTAGTATACAGTATTGGCTGTTATCATAATATTACTCTCATAGTATACAATGTTTTCAAAATCCTCTAATAACATACTTAATAAAAGTAATTCTGGTGCCAAATCTGTATAATTTGGGGTGATTTAACTGAAAAACTTTGTAATTTAAAGCAATGATAACTGAGTAAGCTCTTAACACATAATAGATATTATCTAGAGCATTTTATACATATTTTCTTTGTATAGTTGTTTAGCCCTTTCTATCTCCACATTTTCTATCCTGTCTATAACAATATCATATCTAATGAATGTTCATTATGTACTACAGTATTTGTTTACCCCAACCTTATATCTGGCTTCAATTTGCCTTTAGGAAAAAAATGCACCATACTCATATTATGCCTTTACCCTGATTAGTGTTCCCTTATTTCAGTTAAACTGTCTTTTTAAATATATAAGATATGCCCCTAACTGTCTTTTAAAATATATAAGATATGCCCCTTTGCAATTCCAGAAGTTAGGTATATACATGCTTTTCAACATTGAGGGCCACCTTCTTGTTTTTCCCTTTTTCATCTTTCTAAGTAATTCCTTCTCTTAATTTTTTTCAATGTTTGTTTGTGTCTTTCTAAACATTCTGCCATCTTTTGTGTCCTCTCAGACCATTTTATGCTTTTGGTTTACCTCCAATAGATCTTTATACACCTGGTCTATCTCCAATAGATCTTCCAGGCTATTTTTAATTACTCTGCTCATTTTCTACCCTTATCTTCCCTTAAAACTATCCTTGACTCCACTAGGTTTTCCCATTAATTTCCTCCAGCCCTTCTTTATGTTGGCATACACCATCCACCACCCTCTCATTTCCTTGTTCAATATTTCCTGTCTCCTGTCTCCTATTGACTGTAATTCTTCCTCAACTACACTGTGAATAATTTTGCTTCTTCGTTCTGGGATCTCACTATTTCTAATATTGCTTGAAGGGTAGATTTTGTTTACTCCCAAAATTGTCCTTGTTGTGTCATTATGTTCCAATCATCAAAAAATTGTATCCCAAGTTAAAGTTATCCATATGCTTAAAATAATCAATCCACTTCCATTAAGCTTGAATCCAGTCTCAAACATAGAGTTTTCCCCACCTAAAGGCTGAAGGTCCCATCAAGTTCAACATCCAGGGTACAGTTTATAAGTTCCACTTTGGCTAAATTAGGCTTTCTAGGGTTAATTTGTCTGTAGTTCAGTTCTGTCTTCAAAGAGAAAGGGAATTCCAAACTGTCATAGAACATTCAAGGCTATTGATCCTAGGCGTTTTGCCAGTGCCTTAGATAGCTGTTAGACATAACATAAACAGGTTTTATTTTGCAAGTTTGTTATCAGTAGTGTTTTCAGGAAAAAGATTCTTAAGTTTTAATACCTAACTTCTTTTCTTTACATATAATTAAGTGTCTAATTAATATCCAATTTATTTTCTTTGTGTCTCCCTCCATATCCTCCTCTCTCCAGCTTCTCCGCAGCTCAAGCAACGATGATGGAGAGCTATGAGATGCTATTTCTGCTGTTTTGTTTTGTTCAGTCGTTTAGTCGTGTCCGACTCTTCGTGACCCCATGGACCAGAACACGCCAGGCCCTCCTATCTTCCACCGCCTCCCGGAATTGTGTCAAATTCATGTTGGTTGCTTCGATGACACTGTCCAACCATCTCATCCTCGGTTGTCCCCTTCTCCTCTTGCTGTAGGAATTGTCTTATCCAGGGATAGTAAATAGATACAGTTTTTAAAGATGTTTCTCAGCCCTTTGTAGCACCATGTTAATTAGGCTGATTTATTGCTTCTTTTACCTGGCTGCTGGCGACTTGCAAGGAAGCTGGTTCAGCTGCTTGTTTCCACCTGCTGGTCGATTGGGGAGTTTCCTGGATCACACATGGGTAACTGCCATTCCCCTGTTATCAACAGGCTACTCCCCCATTGCACCACCTCTTTGGGGTGGTTTTAACTCCCTGGGGATTCCAAACAGGATGGAATTCAGCCCAGGGGACGAAGCCCCATCCTCCTGCTGCTGTATCATCACAGCATCAAGCCGGAAGTCCTGATGGTGTGATTTCTGAGATCTGTGGTTGCTTATAGCACTGTGTGAAATGTCTGGATATTGTTCCCAAAGCCCCAATGACTAGGGGGACCACTGAAGTGTGATTCTTCCAGAGGTGAGATGTTTCAATTGCCAGATTTCTGTACTTTGTTAGGTTGCTGCTGTTGTTGATGCTCCTGCTGCTGTTATTGATGATGTTGTTGTTACTTGCAGAATCAGCCGGCTGTAGAAAATGTTGGATGGGCTGTAAATGTTTCAAATGCTGACCAGTACCATTATTTGGGCTATGAGAAGATTCACTCCAGTCATTTGGGGGCAAAATAAATGAATCTTGAATGTGCACTCAGCTCCCCCATTTGCTATCTACTGGGGTTAAGCCCTGGTAGTGTAAGCCAACTAGTACTGCCTCCTGGTGAGTCCTAGCAATAACAAGCACTGCCATTCATACAGATGTCCCTTGTTAATTAAGGGCAACAGCCCATGAAACAGACTTCACTCAGACTGACTGACTGTTAAAGGACCTGCATACAGCACAAAGTGCTACACCTCCTGTGATTTAGATATATTCCTGCATGCATGCACGCATGCACGCACATACACACACACACAGAGAGAGAGAGAGACCCTAACACAATGTGCTTCCCTATGGTCAGAAGTATCTAAAGCTGTGGTTCAAAATATCTGGAGAACACCAAAGAGTGACATACCACAATAGGTATGATAAAGTTTGGCAGTATCTTTTCACTAGGTTTCACCATTTCCTCTGAATATGGAGGTCTCATCACAGCTTGGAAACAAGGAATGTTTAGCTACAGTTGCCATCATCCCCTAACCAGCTTGACCACCAGTTACTGTATGAAGGACGGGAGATTCTGGGAACTCTAATCCAAAATATTAACATTTCAAGCTCGGCTGCTCTTGTCATCAGTGTGGCTAATATTACTAAGCATCGGGCTTAGTAATAAAGAGCACCATGACTACCGCTGCAAAGAGTCAGAATGCTCAGCCACCACAGAATATTGATTCACTGGTAGAGACAATGGCATGGAGATAATAACAAGAGAGAAAAGAAATTGAGGGTGTAACTACACAGTAAAAGATATCAGAATTCACTTGCATTCACTCATTGTGCATTCACTCACTGTGGATTCACTCGCTGTGCATTCACTCGCTGTGGATTTGCAGGGAGGACTCTGGGCTGATCTGCATTTCCCTTCATGTCAAGTGGTCATAGTGGGAAAATATGAATCAGCCTGTCCTATACTCATAGTACTTTTCCCCCCAGTGTAGTTGCACTCTCAGGTGAGTAACCTAGATGAGCATGACTGGTTAGTCCGCTAACTGGCTGATGCCCTGAACAAAAGGGCCTTACACTATAATGTTTTGTTGCTTGCCCAACTGAATTGGATCTATGTGCATTTCGCCATCTATCTTTGTTACAAAATCTGATTTCACCATATATTTTTTCAGGCGTGGGCTTTAAATATTTATCATCTATCTATCTATCTATCTATCTATCTATCTATCTATCTATCTATCTATCTATCTATCTATCTATCTATCTATCTATCTATCTATCTATCTATCTATCTATCTATCTATCTATCTATCTATCTATCTATTTATAAATGAGAGAACAAAAAGAGAAACTTTTTATTGGCCCAAGTGGAAGAAATATAATTTGAGGACATCAAAAGCCAGAGTTTATCAAGAAAAGGCTATTGTTGCATATAATGTTTGAAAGGCATTTAGAAAAGTGCACAAGGGAATGCATAAATGGTTGAGAGCTACTTGATGGGGCACAAGTGACAGTCAAAATCCATCCCCAGTCCAACTAAGTCTAGAACTGTTGAGGTTTTTGCAAACTTGCATGATGCCCTTAATAGATTTGGCTGGGAGGCACCTTTCTGGGCTGGGGTGACTGTCAATCTATCCAGCAGTAACCAGTTGTTCCTTCCCCACCTCTGAATTCAAAGAGAACCTCACCTCTCTGCTCATTGCTTTTTCCCTCTCCTTAATCTATTGAAGTCCCTTGCTGAAACCAATGATGTTTGTCAGTTTGCTATTTGATCTGTTCAATTGTAAGTAATGAAACTTTTTATTCTTTTTCCTACTAATGTCTCAGAGTCATCTCCCTAATTTTGGGGTTACTGATGTCTATGAGTGAATTATTGAGGCTTTAAGTGCCAGTTAATGAGAAAAGAAGTGCACTAATCTGGGGAACTTGAAGGTATTCTGCTCTGTGAATCCCTGTACTTCTATTGCATAGCTAGATGAATTTAACCAAAAATTCAAAACTCTGCAACAGGAATAACTTCATCTTTCTCAAAAGAGAGTTCTTCTCACAGCAAAGCTCTATTTATGTGAAGATAGACAAAGAAGAATTATGGACATTTCTCCCAAATAGGATTGAAGGAGGCACGCTCTCTCTCTCTCCTCTCTGTCTACCGACTCCTTTTCCTCCCTGAGCTGCCTGTGCCACTCTCTGGCCTACAGCAATGTCCAAGGGGAAGGACATTGCTGTAGACTCCTTCTTCGCTGGTAATTACCTTCCTCTCGGGGAACCTGTACCTTCTCCCATTTACTGGTCCAAGGGTCCTCTACCCATATCATTTCCCAACCTCCCGGTATTAGATCCACCTCTCCTTTTATATCTCCCATTCCTGCCTCCATGATGGACCTCCCCCTTTTCTCTTTTCCCCTCCAATTCACCCTCTGTCTGAGTAGCCACTGTCATCTTTACCAGGTCCTGCTCCAACTCCCAGGTATCAACTCCCCACTGTTTGGTCTTGATAGGTGGTGCAGGCGGGTTTGTCTGTGCCTCTTGTTCTTTTGAGAGGGAGGACGACACTCCGGTGAGAACCTTTACACTCTTGCCTTGAGTCTCACAATGGTACCCCAGAAAAAGATGGATCCCTGAACTTCAGAAGAAGCCTGTTAGAATCAGTAGGACATGTACAAAGCAACTCTACAATCCATCTCCTGTCAAGCTGAGAGCAGGATAAACATTAAGAGTCTTCTGCTTGTTGAGACTTCAAGCCCATAAGTGAGACAGGTAAATCGCCTATTACCTGATCCAGGCTAGACTGTTGGTGTAAAGAGGCCTTTTGGTGCATTGGTGTAACTCATTATGTGTAGTAAATAGAGTGCCCCATTACAAATGAGGAGAGTGATGCCTGAATCCCCAGTTGACTACAAAAATCTATCCTATCTCCATCTTGGCTATTCATTATCTCTGAGCCTAATTTATCTCACAGAGTCATTTTCAGGATACAACAAGGAGGAAGACCACGTATTACGCCACTGTGAGCTCCTTGCAGGAAAAGTGAGATATAAATGTGACAAATAAATTAACATTACAAAATACCTTTGATGGTTGCACACAGGCCCAGTTGTGATCGTGAGTCCTGACCAAATGGCTTTAAAACAGGAAGCTGTATGAAAAAGATCTTCAGGCCACTTGTAGCTTTAGTTCATGCTAGTCATCAGCCTTACACACAGTCAAGTGCATATTCAACTGTCTAGAAAAAAACATTACTCTGCTTGAGAATAAGAAGAACTAAGTACTCACAATTCAAGATAAAGGCATAAAACTTTCAGGGCCAAGCAATAAGCAAATCTGCTAGTGAATATAGCTCCTCACAGGCTTACCTATTGTGAAAACCATTGACATTCATTTCTAATCGCATCAGCAATGACTCTTGGGCCAGGAATGCTTTTCGCAGTGCCAAGGGCCCACAATCCTTCAAGGAGGTGTCAAGGGAGCATGGTCTCTGCCAAGGTGCAATGCAAGAAACATCTTTTAAAAAGAAACTAACAGAGAAGTTGCTTGCCATTGTAAACATCAGGGTAGCCACTCCAGCATTTCCCAGGGTCCAGATGTCCAGTGGTTATGTTAACAGGTCATAGCAAGGGGCTCATTATAAAGCAAAGCAATGAGCGATGTTGAAGGGAAGTAGTGTGCCCATTAGAACTGGAGTTCAGGATCGTGTGCATTCAGAGGTAATTTTATTTCCCCTTAATGACAATCCCCAGCACCTTATAAGAAATGAAATTGAAGAATTGGTCTTATTTTTCAAACATAGGATAGCTTCAATATTAAAATTAACATATAAATTTAACATCAGTCTTATTTCTCCCCTCACATCTGCCAGGCAAAAGCACATAAAGTATGAATCACCAAAACAGTATAACAGCATGGAGGAATCAAAATCATTTTTCACGTATGTCGAGGCAAATGTGAACGGAGCCTGTTTACCATGACTTTAACAGATGTTGTGAAGCTGCCCTTGCAGGCCTCTTGGGCAGACTTGCTTTCAGGCTTGGGCAAAGGTAAAAATAAAATCTACCCCATGGCAGGTGCTGAATAGGGAAAGGATGACACGCCTTGGCAAATTTTTTTTAACACAACTGGAAGAAACCCACAGATAGCAAGGCCTCTTACTTCAGGAATTTTTGGAGTTGTCATTCTTAAAAGTAACTTCTTTACACCCTACCATTGCTTCATAAGAGAATGTTGTCCATCCATCAAGCTTCATGTTATCTGCCCTGATTGAGTAACAGCAGTTCTCCAGGGCCAATCTGGAGAGCCTAAGCTCTACCTCAGCTTTAAAATTAGCTGTGAATGGTTTTAAAATTCTTTATAAGTCTCCTCTACTGGGAGAATGATGGGGGTACTGAATAAAAGTAGGAAGGAAGGACAGGAGGGCAGGCCTGGCTATTTGAGGAACCACCTGCCTTGCTGTGGAATGGGCAAGTCTTTGAGATACACAGGAGTCCCAAGTTTGAGGATACCTCTGCTTGCAGAGGCCTGCTTGTTGCACACTAACAGAGAGGGCTTTCTCCAATAGGAATTGGACTTTTAAGTTAATCTAAATGGAGTAAAACACAAAACAGGCCCTTTCTTTAGTTTCTAGAATCTTTCAAGGCTCCAAAATACAAAAGTTTCAGAATTCCAAAATAATGAATTTTACAGATTTCCTTCATATTTTGTATTTCAGATTACCCTTCTTATTTTGCTTTTCATTTTATAGATTTTTGGAGGGAATCTCCCCCATTTCCTTAATTGTTGCCTATCCTTCACCTTGTAGACTATTACCTGCACTGCTGGACTGAGTGTCTCCCCACTTCCCCATATTTGGGGGGTTTGGGTTGGGAGGGTTTGATCATACTGCTCTTAGCAAGTGTGTGTGTGTTTCATTTTTATAATAATCATCATCACGATGATGATTTTTCCGACCTATTCAGGCACTAATAGTACTTTAAATTTAAAGGTCACATTTATCACCATCTTCATCATCCTTGTCTGTACTGCTTCCTCCTGATGAATTGATGAGGACTGTGATAGAATGATAAATGTGTACTTTGCTGAAGATGCTGCTTTTCAGAGAGGCCTTTGAATTCAGCCTCACATGAATTTTTGTTTGCTTGTGCCCTGCCATTCTAGTAGGAAATTATAGTACTGCCATGAATTTGAGATGTTTGATTTGATTTGGTCTTGTTTTTATCTCATGAGTTTTACTGTTTTGCTTTAATTGTTAGATTTCCTTATTTGTTAACCTCCCAGTATAATGCATTGCACTAATGGGGCGGTATATACCGTAAATCAATGAAATAAATAAACTGAATAATTTTAAAGTACTGTTAGTACTTGCATACATCTGTAGATGATTGATTTTTCTTTCTCATGTACTGTTGTCATTGCCCACTTTTGGAGTGGAGGATTATCTGTTGCCTTTTCTCTGCTTTATTTTTTTTTTATTATTCGTTTTGAGGAAATTGTAGGGCTTCATTGGGTCTAGCACAGGAAAACAGAATGGAAAGTGTGGGGTATTTTTGAGTTTACTGAAAGAACTTGTACCCAAAGGAGCCTAAAACCAAAAGGGAAGACTTCCAAAGGACCCCCAAATGAAAACAATATGGAATATTTACTCCTGGTCATCCCTATTCTCCAGAGCCATAATCAGCAATTTCAACTCCTAGGTCAAGCAGCACCCAAATCAACTTTGTAATTCATGATGGGAAACTAATACAAGAACGAATCACAGCACTGAACCCCTTACCCAAATCTTCCGTATTCCACAGGAAATCAACAGCACTATCAAACTTAGAATTTGGCACCCTAGAGCAAAGCCCCAGTTGCCCCGGCCTCATTACAGCCCTAGTTTTCTTCTCTATCACTCCTGAACACAAAATGTTTTCCCTTCAGAACTGAGACTGGTCCCTTCCATTTCAACTCTTTGGACTTTTAAATTGTGGCTTGTGTCTTGAGTGATTTAATGTTTAAATAAGTTTTTATTTTATGTGTTATTGTTTTTATTAGATTTCTTGTTTTTATTTGAATTATTATACATTGCCTTGGCAATGCTTGTGGAAAGTGGTACATAAATATAGCCAATCACTTAATAATAGACCTTATATTTCCTGTGTATAGGCAGCATCAGAACTCGCCCAGAATTATGCATCTCAACTACAAGATGACAGGAAATAATTATTTCATTTCTTCACCTTCAGTACGCAGGACAGATGTTCTACCATGATCCTACACATTTCTGGTGAGTTCCACTGAACCCAGTGGGTCTTTCTTTTAGGTAGACATATATGGGATAACATTGTATGTTAGCACTACCTGTATGGCTCCCCAAATGGAATAGAGGAGAAGAGTAAGAGGAGGGCTCAGATAGCTAAAAGATACACAATTATAAACACCACCTGTAAAAGTTAAACTGTCCTCCAATTCAGAACATGCTCCCAGTCTGAATTCAGGACCTTTCACTACCTGTCCCATGTTAAACTACTTTTTACAATTGACATGGCATTGCAAGTGAGATTTGTTTTCTTCAGATCTATAACTATGAAAAGGCAACCTAGCTTTGAGCTAAGCACCCAAATTTAAAGGGTGCCAAAATCTAGAGGTTTATTCTCAGGAAAATAAATGGCAACTTCTCCCAGCCTTACACACATTCCTTTTTTAAGGAGCATAAACTTCTCTCTTTGTTTTTGGAAGGAGCAGGGATCACATTCGCATCCATTTGGAAGGGGAGGGTCTCACCCATGCCTTAGAAAACTAAAGTGATGTGAAACAATGCTTCTTGCCCAATGCCAACATTGCTAGCTTGGGCTCTGGGATATCCTAATTTTGAAGACGTTTTGTATTACAGTGATGAGTTTTGTGTGCTGTGTGTGACACAAATCGTGTTTGGGTTTTTTACTAAGATTTGCCTGGGAATTTTCAAATAGAATATTTGATAACTGCGTGACATACTTTATTGAAAATATAAAATAAACTATATAAGGAATGTTTTGGTTTCAGAGAATACCATACAGGTGTTCAGCATGTTCCACTGTACAACATCTACATTTAGTCAACCATCCTTTCCATGATAATAATCCACAGGAATTAAGGCAGTGTTGTTAATAGGAAGCCTACTACAATACAGTGGTGTCCCGGTAGACAATTACCCCACAAAACGATGAATCCACATGACAATGAGTTTTTGCGATCGCCATTGCACTTCACAAAACAGTATTTCCTATGGGCGATTTTCACTGGACGATGTTTCGGTCGATGCTTCGCTAGACGGTTGTTTTTCCATGCCCGATGCTTCGCAAGATGACCATTTAAACAGCTGATTGGCAGCTTCGCAAAATGGCTTCCCTATGGGCGATCTTCGAAAAACGATGACTATTTTCCCCACTGGAACGCATTAAATGGATTTCAATGCATTCCAATTGGGAAATGCTTTTTGCAAGACAATGTTTTCACTAAACAGCAATTTCAATGGAATGGATTAACATCGTCTTGCAGGGTACCACTGTACTGTGTCAAATAATACTGCAGAGATTCTGTGAATCCATGTTGGGATTTAATCTACAGGAGCTATCCAAGGTGCCTGAGTCTATTTTGGGACTAGGATTCAGCACTTTTATTAGCTCTTGTAAAGTACAAACTAGAACATGGAGTGGGCTCACAGCATCCTCAAAAGAGTCATCTGCTGCCACTGCATATAACCATATAACCCAACTACTGTGCTTCTTACAACACTTTTGAAGCTTGCTCTCCTATATGTCCTTATTACTCCTCTGCAGCAAAAGCACAAGACGTGGATGCAGTAGGACCTCTTCTGGCAAAAGCTTGTCATCTACAACAATTACCAGCCTTGACCAACTGGTGTCCAATTTGTGAGCTGTCACAATTGAACCAGTAGAAGAAGTAGAGACCATTTTGCCAGGCAAAGTCTCATAGCACAAAAGTAGTGGCTGTGTTGCCAGATGGTAAGGAACAGAGGCATGCTAGTTTGTGTTTTTAGATTATATCTCTCTAATGTTCCTCAGGCATTATTCCCCCAGCTGTGTAGTCCAAAAACACAAACCTGCACACTTGTAGTAAGAGCAGTTGCTTCTTTCTAGAGCAAATGTGTGCAAAATCAAGTTCACTTTCAGTCATTTAATGCCCAAAGGTTTGGGGCAAGTTTGAATGTGCACATGCTTGCTGGATGCCGTTGGTTACATTTCAATCAACTCTTTCCTCCTAGCTAGCAAATAATCCTCTATAGAATAAGGGACCAGTTCCATGCTGCACATGGAAGGGTCTACAGATGATCTTGTTTCATTACCACACATTTCCTGAAGGGGAGGAATTTATTCACCTTATTGCAACACTGCCAGGAACCACTTTATATTAATGCAGGACATCTCACAAAAGCTAGGGTGTCTAGGACAGTATAATGAGCCTAGTAATTCTCTTTTTTTAAAAAGTCTTTTATAAATCTAAGAACCACTTGTTGAATCAGACTCTAGTTCCATCTCTTGTGCCCGGAAAGCTCACATGCAGAGTATCATAGAGATGCCTGTCTCTTATGCCCTTCTTTTCCCAGTTATTTGGCAACTAACATTTCTAAACTTCTTTGGATAGAGGCCAGCTATGAACCTCTGAAACAGTATGACTGCAGAATAATGCAAGACAAATATGGCAGTATTTCCTCCTACCACCCACCACTGAGTTAGGGATATATCTTCAGAGTCAGATGTTGGGATTCAGTTCCTCAGTGTGCATCCCAGAAGAGCCAGCCTATACGGCCTTGGGAAAGCTGTACAGTCCCAGGATGCCCCCACAGAAGAAGGGAATCATAAACCTTTTCTGAGTACGCTTGACTTAGAAAACCCTAGAAAAGACTGCCATAAGTCAAGAATGATGATGATGATGATGACGACGACGACGACGACAACAACAAAGAAGAAGAAGAAGAAGAAGAAGAAGAAGAAGAAGAACACTATACCACCTATGATCAACTACGATCAGTTCAGCATGATTTTCTCTGGTTATATTCCGGAAGTAGATTTTGACACAGAGCCAGAAGAAATAATTTCAAATACATTCTCAAAAGAAAATGGGAGTTAACTGTGCAAAAAGCTAATACATTCAGATGAGTATGTATGATGCAGGCCTGTGAAAACATGCATGGATTTTAAAAATGTCATTATAAACACCAATTGATACTAAAGGCCATCAACGTATTTGCCTGTAATAGTAATATATTAGGGATCTGAAAAATTATTGTAAAAGTACTAATTCATTGAGACAAATTGTCTTGATGTCTCAAGATAGACCACTGAGGAATAATTGACCTGTGAGACTTCTCACCTCCAGCACAAGAATGAGACAAGAATTATCACTGAGATTTTCACAAACTATGCAAAATGTCTCTGTATAAGACTAGTGGGTTTTTTCACTTACAGAAACCAAGAGAAAGCAGAAAAAGATAGGTTGGTCAATTGAAAGATACAAACAACCCATTCAATACTTCTAATTTAAAAAAAACTGTACAAGAAGACAGTAGCTATCATAATTTTATGTGATTTGCAAAAATTATGGGAAAAATTATCAGTAACAGAAAATATCTTGCTGTCTTGCAAAGCAAGGAGGAAGAAATGCAGTTTCTCATTTTCACATACAAGAATGAGACAAGGATGAGTTTATATACCTAATAGTAATAATAATAATAATAATTGTGTGCTGTCAAGTCAATTCTGATTTATAGTGACCCTTTTCAGGATTTTCAAGGTAGAGAATACTCAGAAGTAATTGATCATTCCCTGTTCACCAGTACAAACATATTCTCTACACGGTGGATTATCTGACGTGCTCAGTTAAACCTCAATAGTTCTTTAAGAGATTGCTAAAATATTGATTTGGCCCCATCAGCAGTGAATTAGTGACAGCTTTTTATGGGCAGACTCCACAGTTTCCATAACCATGTCCCCAAAGGAGAGCCCAAATGTGCAGAAAGTTATATTCTGTATAACAAATAGTTCTTGCTGCTTTTGTCTCCACCAGACATTTTTGTAAAGTTTACAGGTCCATACAAAACCAAGCCACTGAAGAATACTTTGCTTTACAATAGAGCTAAAACAGTACATTTTTATTTCTAGGAAAACCTGTCACCTCACACTTGTGATGACTGCAGCTAAAAAAAGGAAGAAAAAAATCTGGGGAGGGGTATGTGGCAAGTAATATAATTGACCATGGTAATCCAGAAAATAGAGAGCCTTAAATTTATGACTCCTGACTCTACTACAACACTGCTCATCAGTTATGCACTGTATATGCCTAAACCTCAGCTCAGGATAGCTGCCCTAGTTGCAGTCAGTCTGTAAAACCAGGTTCATTTATACTCTCTTTTATCTATAAAAGTAGTCTAAATCCCAAATATAAACGAGATGTGAAACTGAAGATCATCATCCGAGTTTATTTTTCCCCCAATGTCCTTAGCATGCTACATTAAGCTGACAATGTTTAATCATATGTTCATTTCTCACAAGACATTTTCATGCAACAGCTGTAATTGGCTTTACACTTACATTATACATATTTCTATTTAGCCATGTGAAAGAATAAGTGTTAAGGTGTTTCCAAAATGTTTCCATAATGTTTCTAAGCTCTGACAGATTCTTGATATTTTGTGACTCTTGGTTCAACACCTGAATAATTACGGTCATAAAGTCAACAAGGTCACTGTTTAGTCCATTTACCACTGAATTATTTGCTTTTTAATTTCCTATCTCCTGAGAAGTCCTCTCTTTGAACACTGCATTCAAGTACAATACTATCAACATTCCCAGTTGTCTAAAAGGCAATACTGTACTTATTTGCTGCACTTTAAATGTTCTAGCATCTTTCTCACAAATATGCTTAATCTTATTCCTTTTATTTCTGTAATGAACATTCAGCATGAAAGCCATTAAATATTAGCTATTTGGCATTTTCCAGTGAAGTGCAAGAAATAAAATAAGTTACAACTTTATTGCTAAAAGATAGTAATAAGCATAGTAACTTTTTAATATACAATGAAAAGGACAGTACTGTAGTTCCTTTTTCTTGGTGCCCAGCAGTCCCGCTACACTGCAGAATAAAACAGGAAAATGTCATTCTAGGAGGATGTGTTTAGTATTCTAGAGTCTGAGGAGTCAGATCTTTCATCGTAGTCATCTTCTGTATAAAGAGGCTGTTTGGACACAATTGGACATCCATCATCAGGGATTGAGATCCTGGGATCTTCTGATGGGCGTGTAGGAAGGACAGGAGAACTTCTGAAGACACTGGTAGAGTTAGTGGAGAAAGGGCTGACATACTGAGACCTCAACTGATACTGCTGCTGGAGCGTCATGGTGTTCCACAAAGTAACATCATTGGGTAGAAATGGACTGGACTGGTTTCTGGCCAAAGTATTCCTCAGCATCAAGGGATACCGGGGTGGCTGCGGGAATGGATGCTGTAAAGGTACAGCCAGTGGATTTGGCACAACATTACTAGTATCAGCAGAAAACCTCAGTGTGTCTGGGACCCTAAAAGCAGACCCTACAGACCACTTTGAGGAAGAAATGGGATAGGAACTTAGGGTGTGTTCAAAGAGGTGCCCGTTCGAAGGCAGAACCAGACTTTCTGATTCGGCAGTTCTGTCTCCCCCTGATAGAGAGGATCTGCTTGACAGGAGGACTTCAACAGCACTCACCAGGTCTCCCCCACAACCTTTCAAGATCAATTCAAGCACCGTTGGCTTTTGGTTGGGGAAAATCTTTTTTAGCACCTCAAGGGGTGGCCGGTTGGCTTTCAAACCAAAAGGCAGAGAAACCGTCCCAGATGGACCCTCAATCAGGAGGTGGTTTTGCTCTGATTGGTACTTGGGACTCTCAGGTCTACTGTCAGCGTTTCCACTGTTTTTCTGGACAGCATAACCAACTTCATCAACAGAAACAATTTCAGGGCTCTCTGGAGTGAAACTGCTCCGGGCCTTTGTCAAATCAGGGGAGCTCCTTTGGTCTGTGTCTTTGTCACTGTACGTCTCAGCACTATCTGCTCCACTGACATCAGCCAGTTGCTCTTCAGTCATTTCTGTAAAAAAGAAAGCACGTTTGTTATGCCAAAGAGTACAAGAAAATGGGAATGGCCAAGTACATTTCGCTTCCTATGAAAAGCCCAGCATGAAACATTCCAAATTTTAGAAATATTAAAGAAACTGACACATATGAAAGTAAGACCCATTGGCTCACTTAACCCAAGACTATTGTTTGTCTTGACTAGCAGTGATTCTTCTATTCCTTCCTAAATTTGCTCTCTTGAAGCCATTAATCACAACAAATTAGAATATAGAAACTATATAGAATATAGAAACTATTGGGTTAAATCAAATCTTATCCACAGTGGACCAACTGAAATGAATTGGACTTTAGCCACAACTAACTTAAATTCCATTGACTTCAATAGGTCTAGTCTAGGTAGGACTAAATTTGGATTTATCTATTATCTCCACCTGCTGCTTTCTACGCCCATTATTGTTGACTGTCACCACTTCGCACCACTTAGTCTCTTAAATTTGAGGGGTCCTTCTATAACATCTAAGATGGAAGCTTTTTTCCCCTCCTATCACCATCTTCTTCATGAACAACCAGAGGGACAGGTCCAAAAACAAAAACAGGTGCTTCACCCCTACCTTGAAACCTGGACTAAAGCTGCTACAACAAGCAAGTATTTCCATGTAGAGCACCAGCTGCACATCAATTCTCCCAGTGCCCATTCCAATTCAGTGCAGGGTAAAGGGGAAAAAAAAACCCCACTGAGAATGCACTTTGGAGGGCAAAAATACCTGAAGCAACCCAGTTGCAGGTGGATGTGCTAAGCAACAATCGAACTGTGGAGTGCCAGGGAACCAAATGCTTCAAATATTCTTATCTCATGTCCTCACATTATGCTACAGTATAGCAACACACTGGTATATTCATTCTATTTTACTCTCAAGTTTATAAAAAATGCACTGTTTCAATTCATGTACAGTAGGACTACGTTATCCATGAGAGAGTGATCCCAAGCCCCCATGTGGATCTCGAAAACAGTGGATAAGCAAAGCACTTATATTCAGTTTCTTTGGCATCCCCGCATGGTTGAGAGAGGGAGCCCTGGCCCTGTCTTGGCATAGGATAGGATTTCCTGCTCTCCTGTTCACAAGGGAGGCTTCCCTGACACCAACAAATGCTGCTTTCCCCTGCCCCCTCCTATTTAGTGTCCAATTCTGGCAATACACCTTAGAAAAGTGTATTTCGGGGGGGGGGGTATTTCTTTTCCTTTTTCAGGCAACTTACTGTTCCCATGAATATGGCAGTCCTGTTGTATAGACTTTCATTAAAGACATAAGTGAAACATTTGATAGAATAAGAAGAAGGCCAAAGAAGAAGATAAGAAGAACCAAACAGGAGAAGCATTAAAATTAAGGCACATTCAGTCTGGTTTGCTCACCCACTTGGAAGAAAAAGGATAAGCATGTAAACTGGATGAACTGTTTTCTCAACTATATGGCTAAGATCTATAGGAGTGCTGTTCGAAGTGCAGGCTTATTTTCAAGCCAGACCAACTCTGAGCAGTGCCCTAGATGAGCTACCCATGCCCTAATTCCAGACCATGTCCCAAAGCCTGTCCCAAGCCAACTTCCATTATTAAGGAGACCAGCCCATCACAACCCCTCCTAAATAGCAAGGTTCAAGTTGAGCCTGCAGGGTAAACCAGACTCCAGAGTTATCCCTGTCTCTTTCATGCACCCTCCCCACTGTCCAGAAACTCTGTTCACCAAATTGGCAGCTATGGATTCTCATCTAATCATTAAACTGTTTTCCCTACACACTCTACTTGGTCAAAGTGACTAGTAAATGCCACCCATGCAGCCATCCCATTGTGTCTTAGTTCAGTAGGGACGGACCTCCACTAGAAATGCAATTCGCTATTACCTGTAAAGTTAATTTAAAAAATCATCTTTTTTCAACCATCCAGCATTTACAAGTGGGTCTACTAAATCAATGGAAATTATCAGGGAGCTGACTCACTAAACCCTCAGTGATTCAACGGGACTGCTGTTGTTGTTGTTGAGTCGTTAAATTGTGACTTACTGCACTAAGCCGCATTCTGTGGTGCGTCACTAGACGATGATAATCCGTTCCACTGAAATCACTGTTTAGCGAAATCATCATTTAGCAAAAAGCATTTCCCCACTGGAATGCATTGAAACCTGTTTAATGCATTCCAGTGGGGAAGAATGGTTGTCTAGCGAAGATCGGCCATAGGAAAGCTACTTTGCAAACCACCAATCAGCTGTTTAAATAGCTGTCTTGTGAAGCTTAGGTCCCCAAAACACCCATTTTATGAGTGCGGAGGGAACTGTCAAAATCATCGTCTAGCGAAAATCGGTTTGCAAAGCAGGGACCAAACATCGTCCAGCGAAATTCCCCCATAGGAATCACTGTACAGTGGTGCCTCACATAACGATGTTAATTGGTTCCAAAAAAATCAACGTTGTGTGAAGCATCATTCTGTGAAACACCATTTCCCATAGGAAGGAATTGAAAACCGGTTAATCCGTTCCAATTGGAACAGATTGCCGTCTTTAAGTGAAAAAACCCATAGGAAACATCGTTGAGTGAAACAATGTTTCCTCCATTGGAATGTATTGAAGCCGACTCAATACATTTCAATGGCTTTGCGAAGTCCTTTTTCGCTCCTGTAAA